GCATGTGTGGGGTCCATGTGAGAGGTGTGTGTGCATGTGCAGCAGGGGGGGTCCTGCATGCATGTGTGGGGTCCATGTGAGAGGTGTGTGTGCATGTGCAGCAGGGGGGGTCCTGCATGCATGTGTGGGGGGTGAAGAGAACTCAGAGGATGCAGTGTGTGTCCCGCAACCCATTTTTGGTTCCAGGAGGCTTGAGGGAAGCCTGCTAGGCCCAAAATGGGGCATGCACATTGAAATTGAAATTTAATAAATTTATATGCTGCCCAATCCCGAAGGACTCCGGGCGGCTTACAAAATATAACTCTAAAAAAAAAAGATAAAAATTAAAAATAGGGAAGAGGGAACAGATTAAAAAGAAACACAACATGCACTCAATGTAGGCGGTGCTGGACCTCGTTCATGAGGTCAACAGCCCCAGGCCTGCCGGAATAGCCAGGTTTTAGTTGCATTATGTGTGTGGGCATGGGCACGCACGCTTTCGGCACACAACGACAAAAATGTTAGCCATCACTGCCCAAGCCCTTCTTCCACAGTCTCGACTGTTGCAGTCTCTCAAAACTGAGGAAGGAATCTCTTAACAAGATGTGATCATCATTTTTCCTATGGGGCAATTTTTTTCCCTATCTCTCTTTTGGTAGAGAAAGATTTTCCATCTTTCTTCTGTTGCAAGGCATCTAACGTAAGGTTACTTCTCTTGCAGAATTATGTACTAGTAAAATGTGTACCGATATTTATCATCTATAATAATAATTAAGGAACCAGTTCAGCATTAAAATGATGATGAGGAAAGGAGAAAGGAAAATGTCCTGTCAGAAAGAAGGTCCTGTATTCATAAACACATAATATATATAAAACAAAATAAAACTTGTTACAAACCAGTAGCTAAGACCCTTAACATCATATTTTAATACTCCCAATTCACTACATTTTCCTAGATTCTGATTCATTAGTCCTTATTCTAGGCAGGACTGGAGTGGCAGGTTCTTCTCTTGTAGAAGCCAGCGAGGGGAGATTCCTTTGTCCTGTGATGGAAGAGAAAGAACCCAGGCTAAATAAAGAGGATCCCTCACCTTTTAAAAACACATGTCAAAAAGAAAGAAAATGTTGGGTTAAACATTAAAACAAGAGCTTCCTGGGCTTTGCTGGACCTCTGCCCACTCTTTAAATTGACTTCACTTCAGACATCATTTATTCCAGGAGCATATTGGAAGTCATAAATATATTTATTGCCTATAAGGCAACTTTATTGTGGAACCAACATTGGAATACCTCCAGCAGGATCCTGACTGCCAACAATGTATTTTTGATAGAAGGTTAAAGATGCAAACATGGAATTAGTGGTCCATCTGTGGTTTCTTGATTGTCTATCACTGCTTTAAGATGGTAGTCCCAATCTTCCAATTTTATTAAGACCCAACTATAAAGAGAGATGGCTTAAAGGCTGAATAATTACTTTTAAATTAGTGGAGTTTCAAAAATACTTTACAAAACTTCATCAAATTTTTCTGCAGTTCAATGCTACTCACTTGTAACTAGTTTAGTTCTACCTAACTATGGAGTTGCTCAAAAACTTTCTAAGTGAATTCAGTCATAAAGAACTATGGCATGTTATTCTTTCAGCCATATATAATATTCAAAAAATAAATAAAAGCTATATCCCCCTGGATTTCAGCCTTTTCTTGGGAAAAAAAAGATTAGGCTTACATGGAAATTATAGATCTCCATTTCACCCCCTCTGATTGCGTAGGAACAATCCCCTGAGGAAGGGTAAGTGGGGGAAACCATCAAGAGACATTCTAGCTTCTGGATCATCCAAGTAGAAGATTTGTGTTCTAAATACATCATCTCTGACAGGCATTTCTCTGAATGCCGGAAAAAGGAAGATTAGAACATAGCAAAACAAAACTGTCGTCATCTTTCATAATCTTTTTCTCAACAAATCAAAGGCTATTTACCAATTTTCAGAGGAAAAGAACCCAGTCTTCCTTTAAGGAATAAAATAAATGGTTTGATAATAGCCTAGGGCATCAATCTTCAATTACTAAATGAAGTGGAAAACATAATAACCCTTTGTCACGCCACCCCTTATTCCTCAACATCTGGTTTCTAGTAGAATTCCAGGTCTCATTATTTGGCTGTAGGACTAGAAGATTAAGAAGCCATTTTTAAACCTTGTACTTCAACGCTGGGATGAAATAGCAAGATGCTTCTTTTTTTCTTAAATTAATATTTGAGTTGGGGGAAAAACTATACATTAAGCTGATTTTTTATAGCAGGGTTGTCAAACACATCACATGCTGGCCACCCCCACCCCCATTTCAGTGTAGGAGAAAAAACTTGTGATATGTCACATAACGACAATGTGAGGCGAATTTGACACCCGTTTTACAGGGTCTCAAACAGTATACATGATTGTCTTTTCAATTTAATCGCCACAATTACTTGAAGCAGACTAATCTTAGAGACTATTGGCGGTGGTTCACATATCTCACCAAGCTATAATGACCTTTGCTTCAGAGTGTATTATGTGAACTGTGATAACTATGGTTCATTCCATAAACAATAGTTTACCGTGTCATGGCTGCATGAGGATTCTGAATCAGCTTGGTTCTTCTAAGTTCCAGGAAAATGAAGTTTTTAGTTTTCAGTCCTGACTTATTAAACTGCTGGTCTATAAAATGCAGAGATCACTCATAAAGTCTTCTCCTATCTATTTCCACTAATATGTTATAAGCACCTTCCAGAATATCCGGTTTGACTTGTCCTTCTATCTGACAAAAATGGACACTACTGACAGTAAATATGTCAGAAAAAGAGACATTATATTTGGTAGTACCTTCAAGCTTATACAATTTAATTAGACTTTGTTTATATTATGGGCACAGATTAACACAGCTCTTCCCCCGCGTCCATTAATCAATGTCACAATGTTAAGTACATGATGTACTATGTGCTAGAAGATCTTATACTACTTTCTAAAGCTAACTTAAGCCTGTTTATTGCAAGTTTTATCTTGTACACAATATGATCCATAGTAAGATTAATTGGGATTAGCCCTTATTCACCGGAAAACTATTTGATTTTGCTCAATGGCAAATAATTCTCTTTCATCCAGGAGGCCCTCTTGTTGCAAACCTCCAGATACAGGTAGTCCTCGACCTATAACAGTTAGTTTAGTGACCGTTCAAAATTACAATGGCACTGAAAAAAGTGACGTATGACCATTTTTCACACTTTTCAACCTTTGTAGCATTTCCTATGATCAGGTGATCAAAATTCAGATGCTTGGCAGCTAGTTCATTATTTATGACCACTACTGTGTCCCAAGGCCATGTGATCCCCTTTTGCAACCTTTTGACAGGTCAAAAATCCATGAGGGGACAGATTCACTTACCAACTATGTTGGTAACTTAGCGACAGTAATGATTCATTTAACGACTGCGGACAAAAGGTCGTAAATGGGGCAAAACTCACTTAACAAATGTCTCACTTAGTAACTTAAATTTTGGGTTCAACTGTGGTCGTAAGTCGAGGACTACCTGTATTGCTGACCTACAGATACTGTATCAGCCAGGCTTCCTAGAGCTACCAGCAATTGAATTCATCCAGTATTGAGGGAACTAGAAATTACCTTGCAATGATTGAGGATAGTAAGGGGCGTGCATAAGCGTGCCTACCATCTTTGTCCTACTGTTCCCATTTATTTGTACTCATTTCTTATTTGTATATACATATACTTATATGTTACATTCATACTTATACTTGTTTTTACATACATGCTTGACAAACCAAAATAAATGAAATAAATAAAAACAAATACAATTTCATTCAATGCGAGAAAGATAAAAGAAGGCGAGCACTCCAATCCTCCACAGACCACGCGCTTTCTCTTCCACCACTTACGTCGCAAGAGACGTCACAATGCGCATAACAGTCACGCTAGGAAGCAGGACCCCGGGGAGGAGGAGGGGGAGGAGACAAAAGGTACCCTAAATATATTTAATTTGGGTCGCAAACGGCGGCAGCCCCAGTCACAACCTCGAGGAATACAGATTGCCCAGCTTGCTCTACGGCCTTATTGGCTGCCGCCTCGGAACGCCCCCAGCTTTCTGAGAATTCCCCTACCCGCGTCGTCGTTGTACCCGTCCGCCGGCGAGTCCCTGAAGGACTCCCTCTCCCCAACCTCCCCTCCACTCCTCCCGCCACACTTCTAGGCTCGGGACTCCGCCCCGAACTGGGTGGCGTTACCTACGCAGCAGCCATCAGCCGGGACTGGCGCTGCTTGTTTGTTTGTTTGCTCCCTGGCCAGCTTGAGGAGGGGAGGTTGTCACCACCCCTAGTTCCACTTCCTCCCCGCCGCCGCAAGCAGCAGCGCGCCTCATATAGCGTTTCCTCAGCCAGCAGCCGCCGATTAAGGCGCAGGCGATTGGAGGAAGAGCGGAGGAAGCCGGGGGAAGGAGGGTGGCGACCGAGCAGTGGGGAGAAAAAAAAAGCCGGCGCGGAGGGTGAGGTGAACCATAGTCCCGGAAGGGCAGGCAACTCCTCCAGTGGCTCGTCTGGGAGCTGCTCCGAGCCTCCTCTTTGCCTTGCCCGCACCCACCCGTGGACACCTTGCTGGGTTCGGGCGCTCTCCCGTTCCCAGCCGTGGTCTTCCCTCCACCACCACCACACGCGCCTCCACCCGGGCGTGCGACTAGTTGGTGGCGGGGAGGCGAGGAGATGTACCCGCCGGGCTCCACCTGGAATATCTCCTTCGCCGGCTGCGGATTCCTCGGGATCTACCACATCGGGGTGGCCAGTTGCCTTCAAGAGCATGCCCCCTTCTTGGTGGCGAATGCCAAAAAGATTTATGGCGCTTCGGCCGGAGCCCTGACGGCTACAGCCCTTGTTTCGGGTGCCTGCCTAGGTAAGGGAGCGCGGGGGTCATCTTTCCTACCCGGGTGGTGGTGGTGATGATGGTGGGAAATAGTGAAATCCCTTGTTATTTGAGGGCCACCTTCCTTCTCTGCCCTTTCCTGCTCCTGGCCGCTGTCAAGACCACAATCCCTCAGCCTCCGTTCCCTCCTCCCCCAGGATGCGCTGCTATCTCGCGTGTTGGATCGGGAGGGAATCGATTTAGAAAAGATTCTGGTGTAACTTTAGTGCTGAAGGGCTTGTTGTGATCCACCAAGCGGGTGCTTTTTTCCCCAAAACCAAATCAACTCAGGAAGGGGGGGGGGAGGTTTGGCGGAAGGGTTGACTTGTTTTAATACTTTGCTCTCACTAGCAAAGTCGTTTACACTTGTTAGCCTAGCTTATTATTAAAAGACAAGTTTGGCTGGGTTGGCGCTGTCCCATGTTACACACCACATAACATATTTGTCCTCGGACTAATAAATCAGAAGTAAGCAGATTATATTTTATACATTATAATTATTAAGAATTGATTGATGAGTCCTTAACTATTGAGTCAGACCATTGCAATGCCCAGTGCAGTGCTGTATGTTAAAAAGGCATTTACTGTGTTTTGGTATATGCTATGATTCCTGCCCTTACATGAATCATTATATTATTTGAGGGAGAGAATGGAATGTATGCATACATGCACAGGGTATAATTCCTCAGATCTGGTTATGGGACATGTAGTTATTTTATCTCAAAGGGAGATAGGTGGGTAAGAATAAATGTCCAAACTGATTTACTTACACTAATGATGGATTCCTATTAAATGTTGTTGTAGAGTAGACTATTTGTGTTCATTGTAATCAGGCTTTAAGGAAACAAATCTATGCCATAAGTTATTACATGATATTTTCTCCCACAGCACATGATTCTTTGATCTTTGTTAAGGTCAGGAATACAAAAAGATTTCATAATTGTTGTTTTAAATCATTTGAGGGTTGCTTCCAAGCTTTCCCCAGCAGGCAGCAAGAACTATTGTTTATAGATGTATTCTTTCAGGGGTAGTGTCTTTCTTTCACTTTGCAATTTTTCATTGTAATTTCACTAAACATAAATTAAAGGAGAGCTTTACATTGCAGTGGTTACATTAGTAGGAGCTAGAAATAGATGATGGGAATTACGTGTTTGTGTATATAGAGTATATAGAAGCTATCCTAAAGTGTTCCTAAAGTTTTACTGTTTGTTGTTCAATTCCTTTCTTCACTCTTGATGTTTTCTGCCATGTTTGCCCAGAGAGCCTTGAACCACAATCCTGTGTATCCTGACATATACAGTACAAATTTTAGTGGATAATTTTAAAAACTTAGATATCTGCTTACTGGAGTTATTCAATTATGCAGGACTGTAGTTCAGTAGGCCCAAGAACAGTATGGGTATCAATGTGCAACATGCAAATTGTATAAAGGAGTTGTATAGCGAGTTTTCTCCACATTCTTTTTTTCCCCAAATGTGCTTGGCACCATGGTATGGCAGAGAGAGGAGAATTTAGGCCTGTTCATTTCCACTTTTTTTTCTTAGAAACATTATATAACATAACATAAATGAGTCCCCAGTTATCTTCTCTTCCTTCAGTGCCTCCAGGGAAGGGATCAAAAGCATTTGCAGACAAAAAGGAAGATATAAAAAGGTTTCAACCTTCTTCACATCAGAGGAATATAAATCAAGTAAATTAACTGTGTCTAATAAATTTGGGTGGATATTAATTGACTAACCATGGTTTCCTTTGATTCACACAATGACCAAAGAAGTTGAAGTAGTTAGTTAATGTCTGGATGAGACTGGTGAATGTCTATATCAGTCCCATCCACGTTTATTTTGAAAGAACTGGGTATAGTACTTATTTACTTATAATTAATATTTTTATTGCTCAAACACTTATCTTCATATGTTTCTCTTTCCTTTGAGAAAAAGATGAGGTAGATCTAACAAACATTAAGTCGAGAATTCAGCCTTTCTTTTTTATGAAAAGAGGAGATTTATTTTGGAGGTTACTATCAAGTAACTAGTATCTGTAGCTTGGTTTTTGAGAAGCTTCTTGGTTACATTTCCATATTGTCACCTTCTAAAACTGCTTGTGAACTTTTCCCTCTTTCTCCCATGACCCTGCTATGTTTTGGAATTACAGGATGTTCTATTTTTTTTTCTTGGCTGTAGTTAGCTTCCAACCTGCTGACCAGTTGCCCATTTGTCATAGAATGTTCTGGAAGGTTTGATGCTAATGTGTAATCCTTCTAGTGTAAGGGGAGGGTTACAAATATAGAACAAAGTATTCTAACTTTCCCTCCACCTCATATTCCTCAATTTGAGAATTATTAAAGGACATGAAAGAAAACCTTTCTTATTATAAGGGAGTGGTCCAAGTAGGAAATTGGTTGCTTGTATATTTTTATGGGGCCTACTGCAATCCACGGAAAATTTATTCTGAAGTCTTCTGTTGTTTCTCTGTTCTAATTTCCTTTGTTATAAAGGAGCTGCAGAAGGGAATCTTGATAAGCACAAAAGCAACTTGAATCCATGATTCCTGAAAAATGCAGAGAAGGGCATTATTCACAATGGCATAAATAATGCTGTATGACACATTAAATGTATTGTGGCATATGCTTTTTGAGCATAGTGGCTACTGGGTTAATTATTATTGATTTCATACTGTTTTTCCTACCAGAAAGAGTTTAGAAAAGTTCACAAAATCTGGAATACATATAGAGAGGGAAGCCCAATAAGAATATTGCTTCCTGGAAATACTCATAATCCATAATATCTTGGTGACATTGTGATTCAGGAGTTAAATTCTTCAGCAAATGCTGCGAGAAAAACTCTCTTTTGGACTTTCTCCTGAAGCTTTATAGTATAGGGACCAGTATAGCATAGGTGAGTGTCATTAAATGGGGAAATCACCAAGAAAGTCCTCTTCTATGGGCCAAGCCCATAGATAATAGTTGAGCAAGGCCTGTCCGTCTGATTTAATCCATGGCTTTAGAATTGATCTTTTAAGGATTTAGCAATAAAGCAGCCATGAATTGTCGTCTCTCCCCCCCCACTCCATACCTCATAGGCGGTATGTGCCTATGAGTTTTAAGAATCAATGTAACATGGTCTCCCTTAGCAGCCCCCATTTACTGTACTTATTTAGCAGATTGCATCATTTTGTAGGTTCTGAATTACTTTCTAAGGCAGGCCCAGTGAAGAAAGTTGCAATAATCCAGTTAATAAGATTATGAGGGCAGGAGTCATGGTGGTTAACTAGCTTGGCTTAGGTAAAAACAGTTTTATAACACTTTGTATTGCCTTGGGCAAGCCATACTGATTTTAATATTTAATATATTATATAATGATATTAACTGCATCTATATTTCTGGAGAAAAATTTTCAGCCTGAAATGCCTGGCATGACCTACTTTATGCACCAGAAAACAAGTTGCACTGTGATAAACAAGTGAATTCCATTGATCTTTATGATACTTACGTAATTATCTTAATCATTGTTATACTTTGTTATTGCTCAATTTACAAAGAAGGTAGGTAAGCTCCAGTTGCCTTTGATGGGAATGGAGGGTCTCAGGTATGATATGGGAGTTTCTCTGAACCGAGAAAAAATCGTTTACCTGTTTTCTATCTCCTCCACCTGTCAGCACTGAGTGCAAGTGCTGAGCAAGCAGGGGGTGGAAATTTGTCAAACTAGCCTAAGCTGTCCAATATCTAGAAAAAGTCAGGTCTAGGGAGTTTTCTTCTCCAGAATTGCTTATTCATCTTGATTGAATTATTGAAGCTTGCAAAAAATGAGAGGGAATTAGTCTTTGCAAATAAGAATGGCTTACATCAAGGATGTCCAACCTTGGCAACTTTAAAATCTGTGCACATCAACTCCCAGAATTCCCCAGCTATCCAATTCTGGGAGTTGAAATCCACAAGTCACCAAGGTTGGATCTCCCTGGTTTACATGATGTACTGTTAATGCAGAACTGGAAACATTCTTAAATGTCTCCCCTGTGGTTGATATATTCACACTCTCCAAGCCTTGTTCTGTATATTTAAATTTTTAATATGTTAATGTTTATTTTTAATGATTGCTTTTTAATATTGTTTTATTCAATTGTATGTCACCCAGAGTTGCCTTTTGTGAAATGGGCAGTTGAATAAATTTAATAGATAAATAAATAAATGCAGCAATCTCATATGCTGCCTGATTGCTGCAGTACTGCTTAAAATAGTAGGGAACATGTATGTACATCCCATTGTCCACATGAACTACAACTTCTGTAATTCCCAGAGTGTTTAGGTTCTTGGGGGTGATTAGAGATGTAGTTTGTAATGTTATCTAAAAGCTTGGCATGTGACATTAAATACAATATTCACAAAGTGTTTTTAAAAGCATGTGGCATCTGAACTGAATGTGGTGAGATCTGAAGTTGTTATTGTTGTTGTTTTCCTAGTATTGTCCAACAAAGATGTAGTGTGTGCTTGTTTTTGTATTGCACATATCTGGTTTACAGGGAAGCTGTCAATACATAATGTAGCAATGGTAGTGCCAGTCATTTTGATGAAGAATCTGACTGTCCTAAGATCAGCCAGCTAGTTTCTGTGCCTGAGGGGAATTAAAATCTGTGTCTCCTCACTCCTAGTCCAACAGTTAACACTGCATTGTCTTTAATGAGTGCTGAAGCATGTATATAAATATGAATAGGGAGAGGTGTTAGCAAGAGTTAAGCTAAGCAACTAACAAGGGTGAAGAGTGAGATCCCTAATGAAGTAACTTCATTTTATTTTTTTAAGTTGCACATGTGGGATGCAAATATAATTTCCCTATGAGCAACAGAAATAACTAGTTATTGGATATTTACTTGAATGTTTTTGAGATGCAGCGATAAAAAGAAATATTAATGGTTGCCAGTGGAAGGAAATTCATAATTAAGATGATGCACAGATGGTAAAACTATCTGTTATTCTCTTGATATTTCCATAGGCAATT